CGCCCGCCGGCCCCCCCGGCGGCGCCTCCGGCGCGCTTGGCTCACCTGGGAGGACCCCTGGGAGGAGCCCTGGGTGTGGGCCTCCCGCGTGCCCCCGGCGAGGGCAGCCGGCCCCTGCCCGGTGCCCCCGAGCACCGAAGCTGCGCGAGCGCGGGCTTTGCCAGTCCCCCGCGGCGTCGGCAGCGCCTCGCCGGGCACCCGGCACACGTGGCACACAGTCACTACGTGTGTGCGGAGAGAGGGGAGTCCCCGCCACGGGAGATGCGGCCCTTCTGCGGACTCCCGGCTCTGAAAAGCAGCCCGGGGAGGGGGAGGGGCGGCGGCTCTGCAGAGACGGTGGCCCAGGTTGCTCACCGCCGGGGCCGGGCCGGGAACGTGTGGGGTCCCTGCGCCGCGCCGCCCGGCCGGGCAGGTTCGGGCGAGCTCAGCCCAGCCCGGCGGGGCCACGTCCGTTCGCGCTCTGCGCGCGTCTAGGGCTGGGGCGGGGCGGGGGCGAGCCGGCTGGAGAAGGGCGGGGGGCCTTCCCGGCTCGGCGCTGTCCCCAACATTCCCACTCCAGGTTGTGGTCCCTGCACTGTTCGATCCATGTATTGTGCGTCGGGGGTCGCTTGTCAGACCTGGAGGGGCGCTCAGGGGCCGGGCGTTGTTATGGGCACCGAGGGTGACGGTGGGGCTAAGACAGAACCCCTGCTCTCGGGAAGCTCCTGGACCAGTAGGGGATACAGACGAGCCACCGTTCGTACAGGCTGGCTAGTTTGCTGTAGGTGCTGTGGCCCAGGCGGCAGTCCCGCCGCGCCGTGCCCCTCGCCCGCCCCGCCACCCCTAGAGCCGCCGCGACGCCTGCTGGACCGAGAGGGGGGCTGCAGGCACTGTGCGATCCAGACGCAGACCACACCGGGCACTTCCGCTCTGAGACTCGGCTTCCTCCGGTCCCCTCCCCGTCCCAGCCCCAGTCTGCCCAGGCGGCGCTCCTCTGGGCTCCTGCTTTGGACTACCTCTCACCGCTGACTTATGCGTCTGTGTTGGCTCTCGGCACTGCCACCCCCAGGCAAACATCTGGGCTCAGTGGCGGGAGCTGTCTGAGGTGGCTGGCTGTCTGTCTGTCTGGGAAATTCCCCTAGTGAGTCCTTTGTGGGAATTCCCGAGGGACAGGGTTAGCCTTCCGAGTGCCCTAGGAGAGCCCGGCCTGTGGGAGACGGGGCGCTGCCCTCCTGCGGGCGCCAGTCTCCCCGTCTGGACCAGGCAGAGAGTGATTGCCACTCCCTCGCCCAGCGCCCTGTGGTTGGAGGTGGGGAAGGCCAGGGCCAGTGTCCTGGGGCACTGTCTAACCCCAGCAGCCCCTGAGGGCATCTCTGGGCAATGGGGTGAGGTGGGAGGGGATTCCCTGGTAAGTCCTGGGCCCAGAGCAGCCTCTGCTCTGTGTTCTTTTGGAGAATACAGCGTATATTTCCCACTTTATTAGTGACGTGAGCAGTTTTTCAAAAGTGGGAAAGTAGAGAACAGGAGTACAGAGGGGTGGGGCCTGCCAGCCGCCCCTGGGCTGACACCTTTGTCCCTTGCCTGCCAGCCTTTTGCTTGAGGTTTTGTTTGCTTGCTGTTAGACAGTGTGATAAGTATGACTCATTTCTGCTGTGTCCTTCTTTTTGCCTTTTAACTTCCATCTTATACTCTTTGTAAACAGCATTTTTAATGGCAGCGTAAGTGTCTCTCAGAATGCAGAGATGCAGAAATAAATAACAGCATCCACACGCACACACTCAAGCACTCCTCAGTTGCTAAGCAAGGCTGATTGCTTCTGGGAACTTACAAACAACCCTGACATTGACTTTCAGTCAGCAAGCATGTATGGAGCGCCCGCTCTGGTCTGGGCCCTGGTTTAGGGCTGGGGGCTTCGTGCAGGACAGTAGGCGAGGGGCTCACATGGTAGATGAACTCGACCTCTGCTCCCTTCGATTTTGGAGAATTTTCATGCTGCCGCATGGAAGCCAGATTCTTCTGACCACTGGTCCAGTCCTCTCCCTGAGGGCGCAGGTGGCCAGAACCTGGTGGATGTGTCCCCTGGGGATTTTCCAACTCCAGAGGGGGGCCAGGCTCAGAGAGAAGGTGGAATTCTTCCCCTGGGAGTCCCCTCGGGGAAGAGGAGGTGGGGCAGGACGGGGCGTAGGAGGTAGTCGGGGCCTGGGCAGTGCTAAGAAGGATGGGATCCTGGCTTCTGCACAGAAAGCAGAAACACCAGGAGGCATTGTGTACAGGTGCCTCTTGCACCAAAAACTGACTAATCACTCCTGTCACTGTCCTGGGAGGCCCTGGGGACTCTGAGGTATAGCCTTGCCCTAAAGTAATCTAGTCTCTGGGCAAATACGGAATTAGAATATAAGATAAGAGTTATAATAGAGGCATAAGAGACAACAGGCTGTGGGCTCAGCGAGGAAGGAATGTTTACTTGGGATGAGGGGGCCTTCACAGAGGAGGGGATACTTGAAATGGGTTTTGGAAGGTGAGTAGGCATCCACATTGAGAGAGGAGGGAGCAGGCAGAGGGGTGGGAGGCTGTGCAGGAGCACTCCGAGGGAGCTACAAGTACAGAATGGGTCTGGGGGGTGTGACAGGAGGTGAGAGCAGGAGGTGGTTTGGGGGCCACGTTGCCAAGGTCATTGAGTCCAGGCTTGGGATTTTGACATCGTTCTGTGGCTCACTGATACTTGAATAGAGCACTAGGATTTGTATTTTAGAATGTGGGTCAAGGAGGGGGAGCTGGGGGGGGGGTGGCTAGCTCCCGTGGGAGTGTGCGGGGCCGGGGGACGGGTTAGACGTTGCTGGAGGAGAGCCGAGCCCCAGGCACGGGCAGGGAGGAGGCTGGGGGTGGGGGGGGGCAGAAACGCCGCTTCTGCGTAGGGAATGCAGGACAGGAACAGACCTGGGGGGCAAACCAAGTACCGGTTTAAACAGGAGGTTTATGTTTCCCGAAGCACAGAGCGCTCTGGAAGCTGGATGGCCGCTCATCCGTGTGGTCATGGAGCCAGTGCCCTCTGCTTGTCCACTTTGCCACCCTCAGCACCCTGGTCACAAGGTGGTGGCCTCGGCCACAGAGCTACATGCCCGCGGTGGGAGGGGTGGGGGTGTGAGGTCTTCTCCTTTTAAAGGCCTCTTTTTATCTGGTAAGGAAATCTTTTCTAGCAACTTCCTAGACCGATTAGCCTCAGGGGAAAAAACTGGCTCAGTGTTCAGGGCCCCGACCTACACCTTCCAGGGAGGGGAAGGGACGCTCTGTCTGGGGCTGGGGCCCACCTCCCCCAC